ATATATATATATATATATATATATATATATATTATATACTATATTATATTATATGCATATTACCATACCCCATATATAATAATATACTATATTATATGATATGATATGTTATGTTATATTATATTATATACTATATTATGTAATATACTATATTATATATGTATAATATACATATATATATTATATTATACATATTACCAAATAGTATATAATTTGACTAATTCGAGTTCGAATTTATTAATTCGAGTTCGATTTCACTAATTCGATTTCGATTTTACTAATTCGAGTTCGATTTCATCAAATTTGACTTTAATTGTACTAATTCGAGTTCGATTTGTACTAATTTGACTTTAATTGTACTAATTTGACTTTAATTGTACTAATTCGAGTTCGATTTCACTAATTCGAGTTCGATTTCATTACAATTAACTTTAATTGTACTAATTCGAGTTCGATTTCATTACAATTGACTTTAATTGTACTAATTTGACTTTAATTGTACTAATTTGACTTTAACTGTACTAATTCGAGTTCGATTTCACTAATTCGAGTTCGATTTCATTATAATTGACTTTAATTGTACTAATTCGAGTTCGATTTCATTACAATTGACTTTAATTGTACTAATTTGACTTTAATTGTACTAATTCAAGTTCGATTTGTACTAATTTGACTTTAATTGTACTAATTTGACTTTAATTGTACTAATTCGAGTTCGATTTCACTAATTCGAGTTCGATTTCATTATAATTGACTTTAATTGTACTAATTCGAGTTCGATTTCATTACAATTGACTTTAATTGTACTAATTTGACTTTAATTGTACTAATTCGAGTTCGATTTCACTAATTCGAGTTCGATTTCATTAATTCGAGTTCGATTTCATTATAATTGACTTTAATTGTACTAATTCGAGTTCGATTTCATTAATTCGAGTTCGAATTTACTAATTCGAGTTCAATTTCACTAATTCGAGTTCGATTTCATTACAATTGACTTTAATTGTACTAATTTGACTTTAATTGTACTAATTTGACTTTAATTGTACTAATTCGAGTTCGATTTCATTAATTCGAGTTCGAATTTACTAATTCGAGTTCGAATTTACTAATTCGAGTTCGATTTCACTAATTCGAGTTCGATTTTACTAATTCGAGTTCGATTTCACTAATTCAAGTTCTATTTCATTATAATTGACTTTAATTGTACTAATTCGAGTTCGATTTCACTAATTCGAGTTCGATTTCATTATAATTGACTTTAATTGTACTAATTTGACTTTAATCGTACTAATTCGAGTTCGATATCATTAATTCGAGTTCAATTTCACTAATTCGAGTTCGATACATTATATAAATCATCCAAATTCAAAATCATCCAAATACAAAATCGTCGAAATACAAAATCATCCAAATACAAAATATTCATCTAAAAAAATTTAGTTCCCCCAATCATCGCGGAGTCTAGTTCGATCGATGGGAGGATGCGAATACGGGCAATGGTCAGCGAAATGTAATGGATCACCACATCTACTGCATTGACCCCGGCCCCTTCTGCGGCGCGCCCGACGATCCATTTGCATTTTAAAGCATCTAGTTTGGGCGCGACCGAGTCCAGGCTTCGAGATGATCCTCTCCCAATGCGGAATCAAAATCCATCCCACCTGCGGTCACGTGTCAGGATTTCCAACTAGAGTAAAATTCCAATTAGAAAATTGATTAACCCAGTTCTCCGTCCAAAAGTATGAAAAACTGTACCCAATCGGATAGTCTCGACACGCCCATTCCAGGTTGGCAAGGCATACTCGTCCCTGTCTACACACGACGAGTCCCAATCACCCATCTCGCGATAATCGTAGAGGCCTTCATTTGGAAAGGGGTGTTCTTCAATGAATTCTTGTGCGCTCTCCTCATTAATTGATCTGTCCGATTCGGTTTCCGAGGTCTCATCCGTGAAATCGTCTTCACCGGGAATGAAATCTTCATCTCCAACAATTTCTTCATCAATGTCCGGTCCTCTCATGGTAAAGCTCGTTCCTTCGCCGAAATTACTCGTCCCTTCGCCGAAATTACTCGTCCCTTCACCAAAATTACCGGCATGCGTAGTCCACGTATCCTCACCACCAAACATTCC